AAGAGAGCAAGTTGCTTGAGTGGGATGACCTATTGCTTGACTGTTGAAGTTTAATCTTGTACTAATCCAGTGTGATGAGTGCTTCCTCACCCTTGTGCTTCTCCTAAGCGGCTGGACTCTTCAAAAATTTAAGCTTCATTTTGTTGATCTAATTCCCCATGATGTTGCCTTTCATCCTCATCATGAACTTTCTGCTCCTGTTCAGTCTGCGGATCCTCTTGACCCATGTGTGGTTCCTGTTGACTAGTAGAAGAGTCCTCTTGATTCCCCCCCCCTTCAGGATTAGGATGAGAAGCCTCTTCAGCCGCATCCATACCATTGCCTTGATTTTGGACCATCTTCTGGACCAGTAGCACTTTCATTTTGGGTCATCTTGATACCAAGGCTCTCCATGATAGTCCTCAGGTTGTTTGCCTTATCTGAGGCTCTTTGTGATAGATCCTTGAGATTATCCCAGCTCTTCTCCTCATAATAACCTCTAGATTCCACAAACTTTACCTCTCTGGATACTAAGACTCTTCTTGACTATGGAGAGTAGCATTTGTAACTTTTTTGAGTAGTAGGATACCCAATGAAAACTGCCTTTGTTCTTCTAGCCGCAAGCTTGTTCCTATGTTCACCTGTTTGCAGCACATAGCACAAGCAACAAAATACACGTAAGTGATAAATATTTGGTTTTCTTTTGTTCAATACCTCATATGATGTGGCATCATAAAGGACTCTGGTTGGGGTCCCGTTGATGAGATAGCATGCTGTCATGACCACATCACTTCAAAACCTCTTAGGCATGTTGGTGTAGAACATCATGGACCTTGCCACTTCCATTAGATGTCTGTTTTTGCTCTCATCTACACCATTTTGTTGTGGAGTGTATGGGCAGCTAGTTTGATGGATGATTCCATTCTTGGAAAAGTGGGATTTGAAAGCTATGCTTGTGCATTCTTCGCCATTATCTGACCTGAATACCTTGATCTTGACATTGAACTGATTAGTTATGTAGCTCTGGAAGTTCATAAATGCATCTAGGACTCCATCTTTAGATGGGATCATAGTCAGCCATTTATCTTTAGATTTTTTTGTCTATGAAGGTGAAAAAATATCTATGATTTTCCCTAGAAATTCTTGGTGCAGTCCAGACATCAGAGTGTATAAGTTCAAAGTAGATTTCATAGATAGTAGATGACAGGCTCTAGAATCGGTATGGCCTAACCTAGGATGCCACAATACATCATTATCTAAGACATGAAATGAACTAAACACATAAGGTAAACATGATCTAGTCTTGGTGTCTTCAAGCAGGTCCAACTTGTGAACATGATGACATGAATGGCATAACATAAGAAAGAGATCAAGAGAGTGGTTCTGGAACAACAAAGGGAAGATGGTCCGTACACATGTACGGGTTGGTCTATCATACCCTAACCTAGAGTGCTAGGCAAGCAAGAGTTATGTGTGGGAACCGAAATCCACCTACTGTCAAATAATCGTAAAAAAGGAAACTTCGGGAAAATCCTAAGTTTCCAGAGGAACCGGCTATCTGCAGAAACGCACAACGAAGATTAAGATAACGAGAAAACTTAGAATTGTTAAAAGATAAACGAAAATCGAGAGCAAAGAGGTTCTTATTCCGAATCTGCGTTGAACTGGTACAAAAAGAGTAGCCGAAAACTTAAGAACGAAAAAACCCTAATTGAGACGCAGCTCGCTCACAGAAAAACGGAAAGATTCCTAAATGCTAGTTTTGGTGGTGAGAGCTCTGAATTTCGTATCGATTGCTTCTGACTTAGACCTCCTATTTATATACTCCTTGCCTTGGCTATCCGATCTTTCCATTTCTCCCAGATTTGACTAAATCGGGAATTTTTCCATTCTTCTCGATCCTTCCTTTTCTTCTGCGGAAATCTTCTATTTTTCTTCAAACCTTCCTTTTATCTTTAAACTTGACATTTATTTCCCTCCTGCGAGTAGACCGTCAAAACGTTATCAAATACGCGGGTTAGATTCCGTTAAGATCGCGAGATGGGTTTTTATCGCGTTTTAGGTCCTTCCGGGCCGTTTTGCGATAAAAACCGTTTTCCGACTTTTTACGGGATCATTTCCTGATCTGACGTCGTTTTTAATAAATTACTCGAGTTAATCGCAGGGTTTTACGATTTACTCGACTTTTATTAAAAACACGTTTTTTTACGACTTACTCGGCGTTTTTTATTAAAAAGCGCGTTTTTATGATTTCAACGAGAAATCTCGAATAAATCGTATAGTTTAGGCAATGTTCGGTGTTTCGTTTAACCGTTGCCGTTTTATACGATGTCCTCAAGTTCTTTCCGAGAAAGCGAAGTTTTACGGTTTTTATCGTAAAACTCGAACGGTAAGTTGGATCGAGATGGAACGGGAGATATTTCGGCCGTGGTTTAGAACGCGACCTTGTCGAAAGTCGTATGTTTCGAATCGGAAATGCGGGAGATCGAGACACGGAGTATCCGGGAAGTCTCTAGTTCGCCCATCGGCGAACTAAGCCGGGCCAGCTTAGTTCGCCGATGGGCGAACTAGTCAAGCATTTCCTAGTTCGCCGATGGGCGAACTAGTTGATCACTTCCTAGTTCGCCGATGGGCGAACTAGTTGATCACTTCCTAGTTCGCCCCGGCTTAGTTCGTCAATGGGCGAACTAGATGAGTACCTCTTAGTTCACCCATCGGCAAACTAAGCCAGGCCGGCTTAGTTCGCCGATGGGCAAACTAGTTGCGACTAGTTCGCGTTTTTTGGCTATTTCGATTTTTTGCGGTTTCGTAAAATGATTCTCGAGTTTTATAAAACGATCTTCGAGTTTTATAAAACGATCCTTAAGTTTTATAAAACGATCTTTGAGTTTTATAAAACAATCTTTGAGTTTTATAAAACGATTCTCGAGTTTTATTAAACGATCTTCGAGTTTTATAAAACGATCTTCGAGTTTTATAAAACGATTCTCGAGTTTTATAAAACGATCCTTAATTTTTATAAAACGATCTTTGAGTTTTATAACACGATCCTCGAGTTTTATAAAACGATTCTCGAGTTTATAAAACGATTCTCGAGTTTTATAAAACGATCTTCGAGTTTTATAAAACGATCTTCGAGTTTTATAAAACGATTCTCGAGTTTTATAAAACGATTCTCGAGTTTTATAAGACGATCCTTAGGTTTTATAAAACGATTTCTCGAGTTTTATAAAACAATCTTCGAGTTTTATAAAACGATCTTCGAGTTTTATAAAACAATTCTTGAGCTTTATAAAACGATCTTTGGGTTTTATAAAACGGCCTTTCGAGTTTTATAAAACGGTCTGCGAGTTTTATAAATGACTTTGAGTTTTATAAAACTATTCCTCGGGTTTTATAAAACTGTTCCTTTTGTATTTTCGCGGGGAGTTTTGGTTATTAATTCCGTCGTACCGATTTTGACCCCAACATTATGCACAAAGAATATTATGTGGGATCTCCCCAAGGGTTCTGGACAAGTCAAAAGAGAGAAAAGAGCCGTTGGGTCAAGAGGTTAAAATAAGAACACATGATGGGTTAAGGAGAGAAGAGTTAGGCAAGATGTAATTACCACCTTAGTTGGCCGAGTCTTTTGTCTCTCTTGGCCACATTTGTTTATTGTTTCTCTTATGTCTTTATGTATCACTTGTAGTGTGGGAACAAAAATTCACACTGTCGATTTCCGTAAATAAAGAAACTTAGGAAAACCATAATTTTCCAGAGGACCCGGATTTTGCGAAATCCAACGACACGTAACCAAATAAATGCTGATAATATGAAAAACATGATAAAATGAATTTATAAAGAAATTAGATCTTATTTCGAATTCGCGTAAGAGCGCTGCGATCATTACAAGAGATTACAAAGGCTTTGGCCGCAGGGGCCGTCAGCGAGTTGCCTAGTTCTAGCAACATAAAACCCTAAACCTAGTTGAGTCGCAGCTCGATAACAAAAGACGAAAAATAGAAGAAAAAAGGGTTTTTATTGATTTCGGACTGAACCTTATGAAAGGCTGCCTATGTACCCCTTTCGAGGATCAAGCCAAACATAGTTAAATTGATAAATGTGGACAAGAGATCGACCTGCCTGGGCGAGTTCGTCTAGTAATTGAGTGCCTGTCATAGAAACCAAACTTGTGGAGAATAAAGCCTAAGTTTCTAAGTGAACAGAATTCTAAGTCTAGAAGAGTTGTAAAAGTTCTCAGATGGGAGCTCTGAAAAAAATGTCCTTTTCTTCTGTCTTCGACTTTCTGCTTATATACTCATTCTCTAGGCGATTTGGTCTTTCCTTTTCCGCCTTGATTAGTGCTTATCGGAAATCTTCCATTTATCTCGATCCTTCCATTTTTCTTCAGAAAACTTATATATATCTTAAATCTTGACATTTATCCACTCCTACAGATAATAAGCAAAACGTCATTGTATCTTTGGGATGGATCTTATTCAAAGTCACGAGTGGGCCTTTATCGCGTTTTAGGACCTTTCGGGCCGTTTTACGATTTAGCCGTTTTATGACTTTAAACGAGATTGTTTCCTGATAAGATGCCGTTTTTATAAAACATCTTGAGTTATTCGTATAATCTGGCAACATTTGGTGTTTTGTTAGCCATTGCCGCTTCATACAATTTACTCGAAGTTTTACTGAAAACAAACCTTTTACGGTTTTTATCATATATCTCGAGGTTTTACGAAGAAACAAACCTTTTACGGTTTGTTATGAAATATCTCGTGTTAATTGTATAGTTTGGCAACATCTGGTGTTTCGTTAACCGCTGCCGTTTTATACAATTTACTCGAGGTTTACGAAAAAAAAAACCTTTTACGGTTTTCATCGTAAAACTCCAACGGTAAGACGGAAAGAGACGAAACAAAAGACGTTCCGATCACGGTGCAGAGTACGATCGAGTCGAGGGGCATAGATGGTTAAACTCAGCTCGCCAGTTGGCGAGCTTGACAGATGTGTTCAGCTCACAACATGCGAGCATGTGGAGTCAATGGAGTCAAAACTTGCGTAAAAAGACAAAATACATTTCCAAAGGAAATAGATTTTGTTTGCCAACTATGGACTTAATATTATCATATAATTTTATTTGTCAACGTTTTAGAGTATTATTACATTGACTTGTAATTGAATTTAAATCCTATAAAATCTACTATAATAATTAAAGAATTAAATCCATAAAGCAGTTGACTATTGGGTCCCATATTTTCCTCCGCTAAACCTCGCAAAAAACGTGCTCGACGCATGTGTTCTTCTTTCTTCTCCACACTAAAAAGCCACCGTTTCAAACACACTCTCCCTCACATCTTTTGTTAAAACAAAACTGCTTGTCCAAAATCTCCTTTGCTTGACAGTTTGGTAATAACAAGTGATCGATCTCAGAAAACCAGGAAGCCGATCATTTAACAACATTGGATTCAGATCAACTCCGGCGTCTCCCGCTCACCGGAACCAGAGCGTAGCCACCAAGGCGGCTGCTCAACGTTTGGCAAAAGTCATGGCCTTACAGCACAAAGAAAATCATGACTATGATGATAATGACGATGCTGATGAAGATGATCATGAATTTAAATTCGCTGCTCCTTCTACCATCATCAACGGTATCAGTAACGTACCGGTGGTTCCCTTCGCTGGTCGCAATAGATCGCCGTCACATGCGGTATATATAATAATAATAATATTCGGATCTGTGTTTTTATTTAATGATTATGAGATTTAGGTTTGGTGTTTTTTTTTTGTAGATAAGCAGAAACGTCAAGGAGAAAAATAGTTCAGTGCGTTCTTCGTCGACGGGGAGGCCATCAACGTTTGGTAGATCAATAGCTCCGACTTCATCTCCTCTTTGGATGCCACATAAGGCTTCGTTGAGACCTCAACTTGATCCTCCGTTTAAGGATAGAGATAACAGGTGAAGAAAATATATATAATCACTTTGCATAGTGCAGATTTTTCAAAACAAGTTTTTTTTTTTCATTAGTACTATGATGTTGTGCCTAATTTTCATAAGTTTAACGTTTGCAGACGCTATGGTGAAGTGCCAATAGTGACTTAGAGAGATAAAGGGTATCAGCGGGAAGCTTCAGCTCTTCTCTTACAGATATATAAGAGAAGATACACTATAAGGGAGAAGACATAAGCATGTGGAGTCAACTCGCCTAATTTGAAATGGACGGTGGAGATGGGAGACATGCTTGATACCAAGAGCATTGATATACCATGATTTTGACCCGTTTTTAGTCATGGTATTGATATGTTTTTATGATAATTATCTATGTTTTGGAGTCTATTAGGTATGTTTTCAGGTTCAGGAGCATTTTGTAGTAAAATGTTGATTTAGGTGCCTTATGGAGCTTAAAGGAGACTTTTCCAAGATGACTAGGAAGATCCGACAAATACACACCTTGCGTAATCGATCGATGACGCTTCCGTAGAGGTTGAAGTCGAGATACTCCATCGATCGATGTACACCATGTACCATCGATCGATACAGAGCTTGATGAGCAAGATTTACTTGGCCGACTTGAAGCCCAAGTTCTCACCAAATTATAAGATAGCCCCTGACGAGTTTTAACCTAATTGTACTCATATTTATAGTTATGCCTATGAGCCTTACAGGATATTGAGTTTTATCTAAGTTTTGTATTCTATTATATACTTAGCAATAAAGTATTTTCTTTTCATCTTATTCTTTTGCTATGAATCACTTGGCTATGTCTGAGTAGATTCATTTGTTAGATTTACGGTTCAAATAGTTATGAGGGATTAGCCCCAACTATGAAGTGTTGAGTTGTTATATTCATTATCCAAATGAACCCTAATGCTTACCCTAGATTAGCTACCTAGAGATATGATTATGGAGTGACTAATCTAATAGTCATTATCCTGAAATCATTTGGCTAAGCTCAGACTTTATTAGGCACGTGCGATAGGCGGTCTAATAGAAATTCTCGGGTGAACACAGTTTCAATTCGATCCGATGCTATATCGATCGATACTCCTATAGAGTAATCGATGGACGACAAAACATACCGATCGACACTGCGATAGCAACATCGATCGATACTGTCGGCAATCAGATCAATGGACGAGTCTAACTAGCGACAGCTATAGATTTGTCTAAGGATTGAAGTTCTCATATATTTGCAAGCAATTCGTTAAGACATCCATAAATTTATAATCCTGATTTTCTGAATAGTAACCTTGAATCTAGCTACTTTCTTTTATTGTTTTAAAACCCAAAAACAATTTTCCTTAGCAACTTACTATTGCTACCAACTTTTATTTATTGTTTTAAACCTAATCGACCTAGCTTAATCACTTTGGATTATATCTTTTGTGACTCTAGTTCCTTGTGGATTCGATCCCTAAGTACTACGATTGAACCTCTTATTTGAGAGAGTATTTCACTCCTTAGGGTTAAACATTTGAGTGATATCAAATTAGGCACCATTGCTGGGGAACTAAGATTACTATTAGATTTAATCTAATTTAGTCTAGGTTATTTGTTACTTTTTATTTTTCAATATTTTGACACAAAATTTTTCTTTTTCTTTTTGTCTTTTTCAAGTACATGCCCAGCAGTACTAGAAGCAACAAGGACAAGCAACTTTTGTACTTAGAAGATCCCAACAATCCGGAACGTTGCATCCGCAAAGACCTACGCTCCACACTGATCGATACCAACACCTCTCTATCTACCAATACGCGCTTTCCACCGACGATCAACGACCGTTCTTCGACCGATTCCCATTCCATCTCATCGATTGACGTCAACAACCGTTCATCGATCGATACCCTTCACTTGACATCGATCGATACACCTCACCTTATATCAATCGATACTAACCGGCGAGACATGGTAGCGCCTATAATTCTCATACCCGATGAGAATGGAGACCTGCGTGATCAAGTTGGTCACCTGCGAAATGCAGCAGGTCAGAAGCTGAATGATCAGAAGGAGGTCATTACTGAAGAAGACACTGCACCTACAGGCATCATTCAACCTGAAGAAGAGACCAGAACTTTGGTTGACTTCAACCGTCCGGATCAGTTCTATTCAAACTGATCAGCCATCCTCCCTCCTGCTATTCAGAGAGGAGATTTCGAGCTCAAGCCGCAGTACTCCACACTTGTAGGACAAATCCCTTTCTGTGGTTTGCCCCATGAGCATCCTATGGACCATTTGGAGAGGTTCGAGGATCTTGTAACCCTAGTTAAAGCAAAAGGAGTCCCTCAAGACTATCTTTTCTGCAAGCTTTTCAAGTACTCTCTATCTTGAGAAGATTTGCAGTGGCTGAGACAACTACCACCAGGTTCCCTTACCACCTGAAGTGACATCAAGCACGCTTTCCTGCGTAATGATGATTCATGCGCTGAAGACAGGAGGAAGAAAATTGCTACATTCACCCAAAACCCTGAAGAGTCATTCAAGGATACTTGGAAAAGATACAAATCCTACCAGCGAGACTACCAACACCACGGATTGAACAAAGTGCAACTACTCTGCACTTTCTAGAGAGGCATCAGCCCAGATTTCAAGAAAGCCTTTGATACAGCTAGTGATGGCAACTTCACCACCAGGAATCCGCAGAATCCTATCAAGCTAATTGATAACTTGGCTTCCAGCAACATCACAAAGAACTCTGTGACACAGAATACATCATCCATTGGGAAGGAGTACATCAATGAAGTTCAAGCACAGCTAGACAACATTCAGAAGCTCCTAAACAAGCAGATCTGTTCAGTGGAAGATTCAGACATTGTTGAAGAAGATGTCAACTGGATTAGTGGAGCTGGTTTTCAGAGATCTGGTAACCAAGGAGGATACAGAAACTTCACATGGCAGAGAAGCAACTTCAACCAGAGTTCCTAGAAGCCCAACAACTTCAGCAGCAGCAACCCTAACAACAACAGAAGCTATGGAAGTGCTTTCTACTCAAATCCACACCCACCCACCCAAGATACTCAACTGGAGGAGTTGGTAGACAAGATACTTGAGAGTCAGCAGAAGCTAGAGGTAAACTTCAATGGAAAGATCGATTCTGTCTACACCACCTTCACCACGAAGATAGATGCCCTCAGCACCCATGTGAAGAAGCTAGAGACCCAAGTGTTTCAGATAGGAGAAGCACTTAAGAAGCAGGAGTTTGCCCACAACCAGAACATCAATGCCATCCTGGATGATGAATTTTGGCAAGAAGTAGTAGAAGAGATTCAGAGATCTGATGATGAGAGTGAAAGAGATTTTTCCTACGACTACTAACGATCGATATCACCAGCTCAACATCGATCGATATAGCCTTTAGTACGTCGACCGATAAACTTTGACAAGTGTCGATCGATAGACTCAGATGAAAACCCTCGCGAGTGCAATTCCGTCAAGATTATGTCTCACGCCGCTTTCGCAACACGTCACCCACATCCGCCCATCCCTTTCATCGATCGACATGATAACCCTATCATCGATCGACACCAAGACCCTGGTATCGATCGACACACTCCAGCCAGTGTCGATCGATACACAATACCCCAACGCCGAGTGCAGCTTCCTAAGATTGATAGTGCACGTCTTCACGCTTTCCGGGAGCAGTATTACACCACCAGAAGTCCTACAGCAGCCCTAAAAGAGAGACCCACAGATATTTTTGAGTCCATGGAGATAGAAAAGGAAACTCAAGGAAGAGTTCTCAGAAAAAGGAAAGAGAAGATACCTAAGCCCTATAAAAGAGAAGCTAATGAGAAGGAGTTGTCAAGCTTCAGAAAGGAGTCCTCAGAATACCTAAAGAGAAACCTTTTGAAGCAGCATATTTTTCACACAGATTGTCGATGTTATTCAGAGAAACCAAGGAGACAGAAGAAGACATCAAGAGAATGTTTCACCAAGTCAGAGATAGTCTAAAGCAGAAGATAACACTGGAGAAGAAGAGTGATCCAGGGAAGTTCACAATACCTTGTTCCATCAGAGGTGTTGAGTTCCCCCGTACCCTATGTGACACAGGATCTGGAGTTAGCATCTTACCCAAGCTTATGACAGACCATCTAGGTCTGAAGATAGAGCTTTCTGAAGAAACTTTCATCTTTGTGGATTGTTCTCAGCAAATCTCTAGAGGAATCGTTCGCAACCTTGAGGTACAGATTGGAGAAACCCTAATTCCTATGGACTTTCATGTCCTTTCCAACAAGCTCAACTTCAAGACTTCTCTACTACTTGGAAGAGTCTTCTTAGCCACAGTTGGAGCCGTTTGTGACCTACAAACCAACAAGCTCTGCCTAACCCTTATCAACCCTTCCATCCACTACAACCCTGTTCCAGTCATCAAGTTTCCAAGGTCAGCAAGCTCAACACTCGTAGCCACCTGTTTCTGTGCCCACGAGTATGATTCTATGGGAGAGTATGAAACCGAAGAAGCAGTATCGACCGATGACAACCCTTCCCCATCAACCGATACCTGTGCAGAACCATCGACCGACATAAACACATGGTCATCGATCGCTAAGGAGTTCCAGAAAATCGAAGACGAGTGTCCAGAAGCCGATCTCAGCATAGATGAGTGGGAAAACGATCATTACATGCCCGAGCTAGCTAGTATCACTACTCAGGAGGAGTATGATGAAGATTATGAGGAGGAACGAGTCATAGAGTACCGATTTCTTCGCGAAGATACAGAACACCCTCCTATCCCGACCTTCCTCCGATGAGCATCGACCGATATGACCTCTAGGCCATCGATCGATATGCCCTATCCCAGATCGCTCAAACGATGTTTCGAACTCACAAGAGACACTTACTATGCGCCTGTCTATGCCCCACATGAACCACACGACGGAGATTACTCGATTGGAAGTTGGGCCAGCAGTTATCACGAAAGTTTTGTAGTGGATACTACACCACTACAACTTGCGATCCAATCCGATGCAGTCCTATCGACCGATATGGAGCACTCTCCATCGCTCGATATCAATCAACAACCACAAACCGATCCTGCCACAACACCATCCCAAGTACAAACATCTAAATTTGATTTAAATTCACTAATTCCGGATGATTATGGT